CATTTATCTTCACCACCCGTCCTATTGTTCAAAAAACGAAATCTTCAAAGCTAAAACAAACCATTTCAGCCACGATCGTCGTAGCAGGCAGAGAACGTTAGTAAACGTTCACAAATCAATCGTAAGACAGTGTCGGAGCGTTAGCGCAGGCGCAACAGACCCAGGGAACCAGGCTGTCGTATATGAAGTATAACAACATAGTCTCACGCAACAAATATATATGCCGTCCCCATTTCAACATAACGACCTTACACAGAACTTCTGGGAATGATCAACGTTGCACTCACAGTGTTCTATAACTTACCTATCAACAACGATAACATTTGATAATATTTGAATTCCGCACTTTGCTTGCCCAGAGTTTCACGAATATACGCGAAGACCATGTGCTATGTTAGATGATTGACAAGCCAGGTTGTGTTTACGTTTTGAATGAAAAAGCAAACAAACAAACATCACCATTCCTCGGGAGTATACTGCAGAATTAAGTATAGTACACGTGTGCGTCAGAGTTCTCGTTTTAACGTGTACGTTGGCACGCGTAGATATTTATGAACATTTGTTGGATGGAGATAGTGTTTGCTGGCGCTAGAGATAAAATGAATTCGCAGTAAGGTGGAGACGTTTCATGAAAATTACACACTGTAATACTTTAACAGCTGTTTATTGCTAGGAAAGTATTTACTTTACGTTCTACTAAACATGTTTTCTGTAAGTCGAAGACTGACTGACTGACTGAGTTTGGTTTTACGCCGCTTTTTAGCAATATTCCAGCAACATCACGGCGGGGGACACCAGAAATGGGCTTCACACATTGTGCCCATGTGGGGATTCGAACCCGGGTCTTCGGCGTGACGAGCCAACGCTTTAACCATTAGGCTACCCCACCGCCCCTGTAAGTCGAAGAGAGCTGATTGTGAGTGAGTGAGTGGATAGTGCTTCACACCACAGCAGCTATTTTGAAGCCATCTCTACGAGCCCCTGTCACAGATAAGAGTGAGTGAGTTAGTATGGTTTTACGGCTTTTTTTATTCGCCGCTTTTTGCACGGCGGGGATTCCAGAAATGGCCTTCACACATTGTACCTATGTGGGGAATCGGCGTGACGAGCGGACGCTTCAACCACTCGGCTACCCCACCGCCCCTGTCACAGATAAGAACGAAAACTATAACGAAGGGGAGTTTGCGACAACTGGCCGTATTTTTCATCGATGTATTATTTGACGACTTTTGAAAATGCTGAATGAGGAAATATGTGGAAACGTTTTAACTCTTTTCAGCGAAAACTCTAAGCAGCTAAGCTGGTGATACAATATATTGATAAAAATGGTATGCTATGATGGCGAATGGAGCCTGGTTATATCAGCACTCATTCAACCGAGATCTTATACTCTGGTCAGAAACAACTATGAGGACAACTCTCGTCAAATCTTCAGGTGAACCTCGATCGAACTTTAACCAGATTCGTTTCATTTTCTGACCGCCCATTTCGATCCTATCAAAAGAAAACTGACACAGACAGTACGCCCTTTGGGCACTACTTTACGTATTCGGTATTGCTCGGCTGTGTTCGTTGTCGAGATACAAAAACCAGGTATGCTAGTTTGAATGATTCTGTCACCAGTACCGATAACGAAGAGACGTCAACGCTGATTGGCTAATTAGAAAGTTTACCTAATGGAATAAGTCTGTCTCGGATCTTCACCATAAGAGGCTTGTGTCATTGTCAGATTGTCTTTTTGCCTGAAAGGTCTGAATGCTTCTTTATTTTGACATTAGCTGCCAATAGAAATAGGTAGTGACTATTTGATGAGAATAGCGGACAGAACGTTAAGCCAAGGGAAGTAACTCTGACCAGTGTTTCTCACAGAGAGCTTTGAAGAGAGATTTTACTGCGCTTTAGTGTGCAATGATCATACATCGAGTAACTTTAATTCGTGTTTTAGTTGGCGCGGTCAGTACTGTATATTCATTTTTGTTACTGTTGTGACTGATGTATTTATGTAGTTTATCACGAATGTATCCTGAAGAACCCAGTTCTTGTGGCAAAGAAAAAATTGTGTTTGTTGAAATCTGTATTTGAATAAATGTGAAGCATCAGTGTCCAATCTGTGATTTAATACGAAGATTCAGATCTGGACCACACATGACATGTAACAGCCTGTATGAAAGTTGTTTGACATGTTTAATAACTGAATGGGGACAACAATGGTGTTAAAAATTGTCGAAATATAGATCACATGGTTCGTCTGTAGAAATGTAACAATATGAACAATTTTGCAGATAATCTTTGTATTGTGTCACTCATGAACCAGCTTGAGCCAAGATCTTGCCCGAAATCATGTTCACACACGAGGGGAGCTCTTTCCAAAATGTCTAAGATCAGCAATTTTGACCGACCTATTTTACCTCAAGTCTGCGTATGGTGGGCAAGTTTACATCGAAGCATAATTGCCGTTCACTCATTCACATTAACTGATAAATTTCATAAAGATAATTTAAGGTTTTCCTTATTCCTTAAATCATGCAGATCCTATCACACCTCGCCCTTGATACAAGATGGCGTATAGTTCCGCATCACAACAGGGCATTATATAAGGATTATATAAAGGATAAAGTGAGGAAGTGTTCCTGTAAATACTATGTGGGACAAGATTAATCTATGATCAGTTTAGGCCAGACTGTTTTCTACTTTATCATTTAATAATGGGTAGGTGAGTGAGTTGTATTTTACGCCGCTTTTACCAACATTCCAGCAATATCACGGCGGGGGACACCAGAAATGGGCTTCACATATTGTGCCCACGTGGGGAATCGAACCCGGGCGAACGCTTTAACCACTTGGCTACCCCTCCGCCCCAATGATGGGTAGGTACAACTGAATTAAGGTTAATTCATATTTCTTTGGTTCTTCGGTTAGTTTGTCTGCATACATTGTCGTGTGAACAGTTGGTAAAGGCTTGTCTGCTACATTTGTTAAAATCTATTCAAATATTTTTTGCTTAAATATTTTGTATTCACGCTTTACTATAAACAGGTCGGTAGAATCCGTGAAGCCTTATTTTCCAAGAGTCTTACTAAATTGGGACGTTGGGATAGCCTAGTGGTTATAGCGTTCGCTCGTCACGCCGAAGACCCGGGTTCGATTCTCTACATAGGCACAATGTGTGAAGCCTTTTTCTGGTGTTCCCCGCCGTGTTATTGCTTGAATGTTGCTAAAAGCGGCATAAACCATACTCACCTACTCTTACTAAATCAACCATCGACAAATACCTTCCTGTTATATATATCTACAATTTCATATACATCATCATCAGTGACCTCGTATATAGGTCAGCCTACAACAGGTATCTCAGGTATGTTGGTATGTCGTAGTCTGCTATAGGGGCCCAGTTGTTCTGCTTGTCGAAACCCGTGAACATCCGGCTTAAAATTGGTCTTCGGGAACCCATGCTTGTCGTCAAAAGTGACTAAAGGGGTCAGGTGGTCAGACTCGCTGACTTGGTTGACACATGTCATCGTATCCCAATTGCGTAGATCGATGCTGATGCTGTTGATCACTAGATTGTCTGGTCTAGACACGATTATTTACAGACCGCCGCCATATAGCTGGGATGTTGCTGAGTGCTGCGTTAAACAACAAACCAACCAACCTGGGTGTCGAAAGCTCTGGACTCCGTAAGGCGTCCCATGGTTTCCAAACCCGAGTGCCCATGTGAGGAATCGAACCCGGGTCTTCGGCGTGACGAGCCAACGCTTTAACCACTGGGCTACCCCACCGCACCTCTTTTGGTACTCGACAACTGTAGTGTGTGTGTGTGTGTGGGGTGGGGTGGGGTTGGGTTGGGGTTGGGGTTGTGTTTGTTGTTGTTGGCTCGTCACGCCGAAGACCCGGGTTCGAATCCCCACATGGGTACATTGTCCCATTTCTGGTGTCCCCCGTCATGATGTTGCTGGAATATTGCTAAAAGCGGCGTAAAACCAAACTCAGTCAGTCAGTAGTATGCGGGACGAAGATTCAACATTTCATTTTTATAAATGGGGGTGTTTGCAAAAGTTTCCTTGATGTAATATATATATATACGGTGAATATATATATTTCACATACATATTTTCAATAGCACCCTTTTGTCAATGCTTTTGATATTTATGATCCATAGTTTTCGGGGTTCAGGGTAACCAATGATATCCACAGTGAAAACTTACATGGTATTCGGGGTACAAGGGACAGGATGGGGGTGGGTAGCCATATATGCTCAAACTCAGCAATCCTTTTCATGTATGGGGCGGTGGGGTAGCCTTGTGGTTATAGCTTTCGGTCTTCACTCCGTATATCCGAGTTTGATTCCCTTCATGGATACAATGTGTGAAGCCCATTTCTGGTGTCCCCCGCCGTGATACTGGAATATTGCTAAAAGCGGCGTAAAACCATATACTCACTCTTTACGTATACAGTCGAACTTGGCTTATCCGGACACTTGCAATTTCTCACTGCTAAACTATAATTTACTGAACAGAGTGGCCCGTCGTTTTGTATTTGAGAAAATCGATCGTTTTGGTTATGTCAAGCCCGACCGTCGCATACACTGTGATTTATTTAAAAATCCATGTCTACAAATTAGTTCCTTCCATATCAGTAACGTTCAACACGCGACTTCCTCGCTCGTCTTGGGTATTACGTAAGGGACAGTGGGTTCGTCTGAAGTCAATCTTGTTTCATTATACTTATGTTACTGGCATTCATTTATCGACAGAATGAACGCCAGCGCTGTTGAATACCTCCAGTTTGTATAAAAGTATGGGTACAATTTCGGTGTAATGTAATCACTTAAGCATCAATATTTAATAACACAACCTGCATCCCCTCTAAGAGAATAAACCGTCCCGTTTATCCTTTCCAGTGGTAAGAGAATGAGATTTTCACAAAACACAAAACCAGTTGTCTCCCTTGTAATGACGAATTCCGTCACAATTGATAGTATTGTAACGTCGGATGTTATCTAGGTCGTCTGTCAGGCGTGAGAGGACACTGGGTCTTTGTTGACATCCATAGACGGCGAATATTGTCGACGAGCGCGGTGTGGATAATACTGTTCCATCTTAAACTTAAAATGTCGAGCGAAGACGCACAGATCAGGGTTTATACCACTTCCATGTCTGGGAAGTCAAATGTGAGTAAATCTGTTTATCATAATAAGCCTGAACTGAACATGTTAAAATCTATTTTATTCACAGCCACAGGACGACACCCATATACAAGGATGTGAATTCGGAACATTTTCCTCTTGAAATTTCCCTCTAAGTCACCTCAGCATCACATTAATAATTTATATCATAATACTAATTACTGAATCGTAATAGTTCAAGATATGACTCACACGTGCGTCGACTAAATAGAATTTAAATCGACAGACGGTGTTTGACAGTAAATGGGGTCATTGCTAACTGTTGGTGACCGGGGGGTGAACGGTTGTGGTATTAGACGTGGGGGCATTTAGGGCGGGGAGGGGCATTGTCTCCGACATTGTCAGCGACGTGACAGACGGGATCGCATAGTTTCGTCTGCTCCCAAACCTGTTATATCCCGACGCACCCCGTTATAACGCGCCGCTACTCGCACTAACGGGAGACGCGTGTCACCTTTCAGTCTACACCGGGAACATATGATTGTGTGTTTTTTTTGTTGCACAAAATTATCATTGTGTTTCGGACATGACATGGCCTGTTGACGAACTGCCATTCATATGCCGTCAGTCCTTTATCGTCAACATTTATGGAGGGATTGTGTTGTATGTTATCAGTCGTTCAAAAAACACAGATTTCAACTAACGCAAATGAACGCTTCAGTTGATAATGATATTGCCAGGTTTTGATTTATAATAACCATCATTGTCGTGAATATATTACTGTTATCAGCGTCCTTACAGTTATTAACAATCATCACGAGAGCAGCATGTGCCTGGTTCGTAAAAGAATCATTGCTACTTTTATATGTTTGAAATCTCAACCATCTGCACGCACCTGTGGATTGTCTCTTGGTCGACGATTATAATCCCAATCCGACATGTTGTCACGGGAAGCAGAACTGTTTTTTGACTCAGAAATATTTCAGCTATGTGACGGCGACATGTAAATATTATTCGAATCTGCACCAGACAGTGAAGCCATAAAATGGACGAGGGCCATCATTGGTCTGCATGTCATGTCAGCAATCAAAGCATGTCACCGAGCATGACGTCCCGATGCAGTAAGTCAATCAACAATTGCTGTGGACCTAATCTAACCCAGAATTCCTCAGCAGTGTTAAACGAAGTTTATTGGGTCGGTAATGTCTTGTACTGAATCAGTTTGTAGTAGACGGCCGTGGGTCATTGTTATTGGCACCCGACAGTTAAACACCATTATCTTTCGCCCGTTTTCGTGGGAGTGAATATTGAGGTTACGCCACTTAAAGCGGTATTCCAGCAAATGCATGGCAGAGGACACATAGGCATCACAAACTGTGAACCTGTGGATTCTAAAAAGGGTATTATTAAACCGTTAATACAAAATCGAACTTATTTTTAGTCGAAGGTCCATGATTGTATATGTTGAAATAAGTTTGAATTTGAGGCAACACCCACCATCTGATATTTTCTAGTCTGTCACGTTCCCTGAACCACATTATTTTCCTTTCCAGCCAGTATATCCCATTTCAACTCGTAAGGAATTAAATGCATTTATCAAAATAGTATATATTCAGACACTAAGTGTTAGTATTTCCTTATATACCTACTTCCCCCATAGACTGTTTCCGTGCAGAGAGCGAAAGCTGAGTGATTCATAAATCTCCTGAATCTGTCGAGACAACAATGTTGTCACGTTTAGTTGAAGCTAATTGTTTCTAGTTATTGGTGGAGAGGCTTACAAGGCTATTCATTAAACACAAAAAGGTTACTGACATATAGTGGTAAAACATGTGGAGATGCCAGATGATGGGATACCTATTTGATGACAAACCTCCACATATGAATACTTGTATGACATGTAAATATCGACATTGACGTGTGAGTACGTTATCACTTGTGATGGAAAACCTTGGTGTATAACTACTTATATCATCTAGGTCTGTGACGTTTGAATATTTATATCCCCAATGAAGTAATTGATATATGACTTCTTGCATCTTCTGTTGAGAAAGACCTTGGCGTGCGAATGCTCCCACCATCTATGAAGAAAGACGTTGATGTGTCAATACTTGCGGCATATGGTGGATATTGACGAATAAATACTCTTAGCATTTATGAGGCTACACGGCGCGATGTCTGAAAGCTTCAAGCGTTTATTCGAATAAGAACAGAAATATGAATACATGTATAGCGAAACCTTTCGGGAATAAAGGCTTTACAGGTAGTTAGACATCGGCTTTCAGACCTTGTGGCACAGTTGGTACAATGCTGCATACATGTACAGGTGAAACACGCTTCAATGGCCACAGTCTCTCAAAACAGGTGGACATTATGTTGTAGTATGTTCCAGTTCGCAAATCTTTCTTGTATATAATAGGCAACAACAACATACACCTGTATAGGACCGACTGTCTAGACTGTCTCACAGTCCCTGAACCGCATTATTTTCCCTTCCGCTCAACCCCTCCTGCAATGCTAAAGCCCTAAATGAAGCAAATCTAGATTTTCTCAGGCTCTAAATCTCCCTTCTCACTGGGTCTCCTTTTCAACTTCAAAGGAATTGTTTGTTTCTATCATAATTATACATATTCAGAGACGTAAGTGTTTGTCCAGCTACTGTCGAACAGGTAGACTAACGCTTAGTCTCTGAATATACACAATTATCATGTAACAAATATACCCATTTAAGTTGAAGGAGCCCCAGGCATACCAGAGAGAACCTGGGGAAATCTAGACTTGCTTTATTTAGAGCTTTAGCATTGCAGGGGAGGGCTAGGCTGTTGGAAAAATAGTATGGTTGCGGGCCTGTGAGACAGGCTATCGTACATGCTCTACTGAGAGGTTCTAGGGCTTCCGTCCTGTCCCACAACGAAGCACAGCCACCACGTAGTGTTTCCTTTGACATGTGGCTGTTCCACACTTGCCTCAGTTCGCCCAGTTGTGAATCAGTTCTTGGTAACATGATATAGTAAAGACTGTTTACCTCCCAACACATTATAGGCTGCTTGGTTTGTTTACTCCCCGGGGAGTTGAGAATTAAGGTAAGACTGATCCAGTGATAGGAGTAATAATACGATCTATCGTGGCCTAAGCGGAATTCAGCAGTTTAAATATGTGAAAGTGCGCTTTTTCAAATTTATGATATAGCATTATAATATTAGACGCGCGACACTAGTTCTGTAATGGCTGTGAAGATGATACGTTGTAGAGCGGAAGAGCAGTTTTCATTGACTAATACGTCGTAAAGCTGTGGTATAGCTGACAGGGTACTTCTTTCATCTGTAGATGACGAATGGCCCAGGTGAGGTGAGGTGAAATTGGGTTTTACGTCGTACTTGAGAATATTTCGCTCATATGACGACGTGCATGCGTGTGTATGTGTATGTGCGGCTGCTTGTACTAGCCCAGACTTAAGCTGGTTTTATAGTGCTAGCCCTCTGAGATACCATGCCGCAGTGAAGCATGAATACCCCACTCAGACACATTTTACTGACTCCGAGCCGACCAGTCCTTGTTGTACCCATTAATGCCGAGCGCCAGACAGAGACCAACAAGTACCATATTTTAACGTCTTTTGGTATGACGCGACCGGGGATCGAACCCGCGACCTTCCGCTCTCCGGGCGGACGCTCTAACCACTACACCACGGAGGCCCAGTTTTAAAGTACAGTTATAATAGGGATCTGTTCAAAAGCTAGATGGTGGATAACTATATCAGTTCATGTATTTTGACAGGTGAACAGATCTGCGAGATTTCAGTCAGGTAGTTAAGTCTCCTGTGTCTGGTTTACAGTTTAAGTCAATAATTAACAGTTTTAATAATCACATTATTTCTCTGATATTAAACAATCCTTTGCGCAGGTAAAATGATGTATAAAAACACACAAGGAAGATCAATGTCACGCACGTTGAGTAGGGGTAGCCCACTGGTTAGAGTGTTCGCTTGCTTTCACTCCGGAGGTCGGGTTTCGATACTCATACTCAATGCCTATTTCTGACTCTCCCTGCCTAGATGTGTCTGAAATAATGCTAAAACCGCTTAAACCCTACCCGTCTCTCATTTATTTAAGAGAACACAACGCGTTTAATGTTTGTAATTATTAAACGTCTTAACAGCACTCGTCCAAAAGAACTCAAGTACACGTGTAATTAATCCAAGCAGGTGTCAGTGCTACCGTCGCTGGGCCCCAATGGCGTGGGTAGGAGGGCGTTGATCATGTCAACTGAGGCATTATTTAAAGGAGGCGGTGGGGTAGCCTTGTGGTCAAAGCGTTCGCTTGTCACGCCGAAAACCCTGGTTCGATTCCTCACTTTGGTACAATGTGTGAAGACAATTTCTGGTGTCCACGGCCGTTATGTTGCTGGACTATTGCTGAAAACGGCATAAAACTCAACTCACTCGCTCACTCACTCATTATTGAAAGGTGGTTGTGATATTGGAGGAAAAGTGCTTCAACATTTCCCTCAATGGTTGGATGTCGGGGATATGGCGATCCAACAAAGGAAGGGCCATTCAGCACTACTCGGATGTTTCCGTAAGCTAAATGTACAAGAAAGCCCGGAATGACTCGAGTTGGCCTCGAAAGAAGATGAACCAGCAAATAATGTCAACAACGTTGCGTGTCACCGACCTCGCGCTAAGCAGGTGTCTGTTGTACACGTCGCTGCCCTTGAAATATAAGGAGCGTCTGATCTTTGTCAGAGTAACGTGGAAATAGCTGCTAAGTAGGCACACAGATCTATTGTTAGGTAACCGTAGCGGCAGTGGTCTACTCTTTTCTGTAATCTGTGTATTTTACCAACATGGAACTTGTTTTAATGTTATTTGTACATGTCGAGTGATCGATTGAGACACCGAAGCTTGTAGGAATACAAAATAATGAAATTCTGTTGGAGAGACTTCGTCGATAAACCTGCCTGTCATTATCGTAGGTCATTTGACCCATACGCCCTTCACTCTATGTGGGAATACCAACTGCCTCTGTGTAATCCCGTGGAGAAAA